AAAGAAATATGTTGGCGGGAAGCGATTTCGCGAACCAGGCAACGTAGAAAGCTGAAACTTTGCAGGGAAGTTCTCTATAAACGTGCGAAATAAAAATTTTGAACTCGGCTCTCTTGCTCCCCAAACACAGCCTCAAGCAGCTCCTCAACCCAAAAATCGTTAGAAACTCGGACCTGAACCGCAATTGTTTACGTAAATGAACATGGATTTTCTGAAAAACGACCATTTGAGCAATACTTTCAATTTCTGATGAACTGAAAATTTGCATATTTTCAAAAAAATCGTTCGCGGCTCGGGCCTAAACCGCAATCGCACATGTAAATGAACGTGGATTTTTTGACAAACGACCACTCGAGCAGTACTTCCATCTGCATTTTTTCAAAAAATTTGCATTTATCATTTTTTCAAAAAGCGAGGATTTACCGAATAAACGACCGGACTTCATGTAATAAAACCGGTAATCATGCACCTGGATGTCCGTGCGGCTCTATAATGTGCCGCCTTCATCCCAACTGACGCCCTTCCTCCTGCATGCCGGAAAGGATCAAAGCACGACCAATATGACCCAAATATTAGGCTGCAGCTTAGGGATCATTCTTGCTAATAACGATCTGCGAGTTTAGTGCAAAAACGCATGATCGCGCCAGAGAGCATGGTGCTTTCCATCCTGGGTTTAAAAAATGCCAACGCATACGCATCTGCGCTGGCACAATTTTGTCGAAAAAAGATTTGTTAGAAACGGTTTTTTTTTTCAAGAAACAGCAAAACAATTTGGCGGTAACAGGTTTTTTTATTCCGTCTCAGCTATTTTTACTTATAAGTACAATGCGAATCCTACTTTTTAAAATGCGCAGTTTTTCCTTTAGCTTTTATAACTTTCGTGTTCAGGACGTAAAATCGTGATTCATTTGGTTGATTTTGTTTTCCGTTGAGCAATAGCCGAAAACGACGAGCTATGGATAATGTCGATTGGATATATGGGTGCTTTTTCCTGAGCCTGAGAGCTACTCAGACGAAATGATGCTGACTTTCAACTTCCTGAAATGTTATTCTTTATACCCGCTTTGTTCAGCTGCAATTTGTAAAATGGTTTACGAGCAATGCAGCTGGCAGCTTCTCCAACCGCTTTGACCGGTGCTACTTCGATGACTGATGGACAGTTTGCAAACGTTCTTGATGGTTCATTTCGGTTCCACAAATTAGGGCTTCCTTTTTTATCATTCATAAAATTTTGAAACTAAAACACCTGCTTCGCTCATGAAGAATGAATTGTGAAAGATAGTTGGTGCTTTGAAATACAGGAAAACCGAATAGGAATTTTTGGTTCCGTTGAGTAAAGCTTGAAATTTTGTTCAATCAGGGTCAGAAGCGCCGGGCTCTTCTAAGCTATCGGTAGGCTATCAATATCACAGAGCAAAGCCAAAAAATCAAAACTCATCCCGCATTCGCTCCTTATGGAGGTATCCTGTAGAAGTGATCCAAGCTATAACAAGTGCCAACAACAACACTTCAGCTAGACAGTCAATAATCCTCTATTTCGAAAATTCCTCAAGGACAAGCTCCCAGACATAAATCAGTGCTCGCTCATCGACGAACGAATGAATGAGTTGCAGGAGGATTACTTGTTTCAGTGACCGAGTCGAATATCTTCGACATTTGCGCGAAAACACTAGTTTTGTTTAGTAATTAATAAACTTTTAAATTAATTAGTTGATGTTTTTTTTGCAGCCAAAACACGCCAAATGCTAGTTTCAATTTTCCTTTTCGCTATTTGCACTGACTTTACCGTTGGTAAGTATTAGTTTTTGCGCTTTTAATTTGGACAGGGCATACACCTCGTCTTCCTAACAACGTTAAACGTTGCGTATTAGTGATTGGTACCCAAAAAATGGAGTATATATATCGAGTAGGAGTGAGTACTAAATGGAGGTAAGCAGCCCAAGGCGAAAAGGTCTGATATAGTTACATCCGACATGTGGGAGGGTCTACGTAAAATCACTAGCATAGAACGCTTATTGTTCGGGAGTCCTGATAATCCTGGTATTTTTATCTAGAGCCATACTGTTGCTGCAGCATATATTCGAATTTCTGGATTTTTGTTAGATTTTAAAACGCCTGGTACGTATTCTCATTTTTGGTCATATCACAACTTTTGTCCATTTTGATACAATCTAGGAAATGTCAAAAAACATTTTCTTTTCAAAGTTATTCATACTTTCACGTATTCCATAGCTATCTGGATTCGGGGGTTTCTTTGAGAAAAGAAACCTAGTCCTAGTCTAAGATAGTCATAAAATTGCTTGATTAAAAGTCTGTGTATGCTAATCCGCCTAATCTTGATTGTGACGTTGCCATGTTGGCATTATTTTAAAATCTTAGCGATTTGAAATTCTTTATTTAAATAGTACTCTTGAGCACTGAGACTATGACCATTTGCCAAAAATTAACAAATAAGTCTAATTTTTTGGAAATGAAAAGCGTTTCAGATGTTGGTCATGAAAAAAAAGCAGACGAACTTTCATCATTTTTCGTCTTTTGCACTGTTCTTTCAATAATTAGAACCTTCGTAAATTTCGCAGTTTTTCAGCTTGAAAAGTTTTCAGGAATTTTCCACTTTGGGCACTCACATTGGCATGGACCACCACACTACTACGGACCATCACAGTACTACGGACCATCACAGTACTACGGACCATCACAGTATTATGGACAGTCGCAGTACTATGGACCATCACCATACTATGGACCATCGCAGTACTACGGGTACTATGGACCACAACACCACCATGGATTTCACCATCATCACCACTGGGGTCGTTAAGCGAAAGCGTGATTCGTTGTTTCACTTCTTATCAGCCGTTTCATTAATGATGAAATAGATATTTACCAGTAAATACAACTGTGTGTGCTCAAAAGTTCGCCATTCGTTGCGAACAAACAAAAGTCAAAAACCTAGTCACTCAGTGTTTCACTGATTTGTTTCGACGAGAACTCCAAGGATATGTCAGATCATTTAGGGGTTGTGATATTTCCAGTTTGGGGGCCATTTACTTTCAAAATTTGGCCCTTTTGGATTAGTGTTACGCTTCTTCTTCGCAGTATGCCTCTATTCGTTTGAAGTTGGCATTTTTTAATGAGTTTTAATCTTTAGATCGGTTAACCTCAAAACAGCTCAAAAACCGCCTGTTTCAAATTATGCAATAGAGTCTGCTCTCACCAAACCATCAAATCTGTATAAATTTGCTCCTTTCAGATTTCGCTAGGGCTACTTCCAGAACAAGCAACAAAATCTCATATAGTGAGAGATGAAACTAGCGATAAGCACAGAAATCATCAAACTTAAAACTCATTAAAAAATGCCAACTTCAAACGAATAGAAGCATACTGCAAGGAAGAAGCGTAACACTAATCCAGAAGGGCCAAATTTTGAAAGTAAATGGTCCCCAAACTGGAAATATCACAACCCCTAAATAATCGATGTCCAACACAAAGAACTTCATTCTCTTCTTACTTAGTATAGTACTTGAAAATGAAACTACTGAATACCTGTGCCTGAGGACGCAAACAAAGTCTGTAGGTTTTGGAGGTAAAAACTGTAATAGGAGAAGTTCACACAATGATTGACGTTGTTATCATCAACAGTTTGTAGCATAAACTTGTTTCTTGTTTGCCTGTAAAGGTGTAACGCATAGCTAATTCAAATAAAATTTTTTGCAATAAAACACTTTTCCCGCAATCGTAAAAACTAAATTTTCCACATTCTTTGGTTGTTTTTGTTCAGAAACAAACGGAATAGGTGGGATACAACTTCCATGGATACCTGGTTCCTGAATCCCAGAGCTTTTGAAGTTTCCAAAAGGAAACCGATACCACGCATTCCTTGCAGACATAGCAATGGAACTTTTGTTGTTCTTCATCGAAGTTAATATATGAATTCTTAACTTGCTAGTACGTTTCACTGACTGACTTCCGATAGACCAGGATTGCAGAATTATCGAGAATCCAAAACCCTGACAGCAAAATCGGTGTGGGCGTCCGACTGCTGTAGGACTTCAGGCATAGGCCAGAGATATACACGCTTAGAACAACCCCACGACAACTAGTCCAATCCCTTTAAAAATTTCCAATGGCCGAGCTATTCAATGAGCAATTTTCTCGCCGGCATATGAAAACATGCTGAATTTGAATGGGTGCTCGGGGCTGAATTTGAAATCTTTAAGTCGTACGTGAATGGGGAAATTCGCTCGGCATTGACTCAAATAGTTAGTAAACTGGGAGCAGGTATCATCAAGACTGTCTTCTGCTATCATTTTCAGAGATGTAAGCAATTTGGGTAGTGATTTTCACTCATCGATATGCGACAAAGGCAATTTAGCATGGAAACAAATATGCATCAAGTATGCAAAAAAAAAAAAACCTTGAAAAAAGAGTGATTTTGTGAGAATGCAGCTGCGATTGATAAATACCTAGGATGATATGAGAAACTTCATTTTAAAGTGTAACTAACCCACCAAGTTGCTGCTACGTTACTTCTCTAACACTGAAACAATACATCAATGTCTTCAACCACAGTATCACCATCTACAACAGCACAGTACCTACACGGAAGACGCGATGTTGGTGTGTACCATTCTTAAACTTTTTGCTTCAAGCAAAATCCCACATTACGGAAATCTTGTCCGCGTGTATGTGTGCGCGGACATCTGTACGAATTTTGCCGACTGCGCAGCTTGAGAAGCGAGAAAATTGAAATTTAGGAAGATGTTTCTTATGCTCAATCCGAAAACATAGAATAGCGCACGGCTCAGGTAACAAATACATGAAATTCAAAATTGCAGAATTTATGGGATACTTTTATTTAACCAATTTTTATGCGTTTTACTGCGCAGTGCTATAGCGCTATAGAGTTGCTAAATCCAGCGAAAACGCATATTGTTGAGAGGTCGCCCACGTGTGTGTGTGTGTGTATCTTCGGAAATGAATGAAATTTGTCACCCACTTTCGTCTCAGCAACCAGGACAGCAGTAAGGCTGAAATTTTGGGTATATTTTCTTACCCATGTGTCATCCTTTGGTTTTAAAATTTTCACTTACACGGGCCTAGACCCCACATACTGATCACCAAAAAAAATATGCAAGTTTCTTTGAAGAGAAACGATTTCGCGAACCCGGCAAAGTACAAAGATGAAACTTTGGAGGGATATTCTCTGCGCATTGCGAGCTAAAGGTCTCAAAATCAGCTGCTGCGCACGCTTACACAGCGCATACGATCACTTTAATGCCTGCGACTTGTCATTAAAAACACAGAGATCGACCCCTACCCTTATTTAGGTGGATGAGTGAATACGTATTTTTTTTCACATTTTTTGCCGCGTATTTCATTTCAAGGGCTATTACCACTAAGATGTCGAAATTTTCGGGGAATTTTTCCCTACCATTTTTAGTGTCACAAAACCTGTAGGATCTTCCTCTGCCTTCTTGTCCGAGATCTGAAGCTCTTAATCGCGATAATTTCATAGCTAAAAATCAAACAAAACTAGGAATTCCAATAGAGAAACGGAACTGATGAATTTTTCACGCACAAAACTGATAATAGAGGTGCTCAGCAACTGTTGATTTTAGGAGCTGGCTTTTTATCCTGATTTTTGCTTTCAAAGTAGCTCCACTCCCAAGTCACCGTTCGTAAATACTGTTCGTCTCAAGCAGGTATAGTTCTCCATGAGTTCAGCCAGATGATTCTTATAATTTGTGCCAAACTCAGGGCAGTTGGCGTTCTTCATCTATTTGTTTTTGCCTCCATGAGCTGGATTTCAATTCCAGTTTCTTTCGTTCTAATTTCAAGCTCACCTGAGAGGTTTTTCGATGATTTTTTTTTCTGTGAATACAAAGCTGGTTGCACAAATAACTGGACTATTTTGTCATCAACATTTACCCGGTTCAGTTCATAGCATCTTTCCCCAACTGCACAGCTAGCAGCTTGTTCAGCTGTTTTGACCAGTTCTGCGTCACCCGATGGCGCATTTTCTGACAACCCGGCATTCGTTTTAATTCCGTAAAAAATCACCTGCCCAACCGCTCTTCTCGTAAAAGCTCTTTGACAGTGCCCTAGCCATTGCGGAATACCGCCGGTCTATGTTGAGCATTACCACAATTTATTTGGAAATTTGCCAATTTAGACTATGATGAGGTGCTTTATCGACTAGGAAAGTTTCAGTACTAACTAATCACATTGTGGAAACACAACCACATTACGGCTGATGAATAAAAATTTAGTTGACGAGAAGGCGGAATTGGTGGAAACTTTATCGCTTTCGGATACATACTTTATAAGTGGTGGACTGCTATTCGGCTGCTGCATACTGCCGTTGCTCTACTTTTGGCTTTGTCATCCGTAAACTGTTAACTGTCTTCTAACATTTTATTTCTAAAATGTGAGACTGTGGATGCCACATTGTTTCGTTAAAGGACGAATGGAAAAAAGCAAAAAGTGGTAAAAATACCGGTAATCACAATAAATAGCCGAGATTGTATGTATTTACTTCTCGATGTATTATGAAGGAAAAAGTACGCACAAACTTGGCTGTTGCAAACTCTCCCCTAAGCTAACTGATTCTGATTTAGTACCATTAGCTTCCACTCTCACTGAGATCCCTCCTCCCCACTCCCCCCCACCACCTGAGCAATTGTCTCCTTTCAGCGAGCACCACTTGCTGGTTTTCGTTTGTTCAGTTTACCGTTGGATTTGTTCACTTGAAAGGAAACCTAGGCTGGAACGCACCAGGCGAGCCGGAGCGATCATGCGTTTTTGCACAAAACTTGAAT